ACTGCTCATACTGAGATCGACGAAAGCAAAGTAGGGATTATGGCCTCCTTCGATACTGCATGGTCGAAAAGGGGAAATGGGAAGCTGTATGATAGTCTGAATGGGTATGCTAGTCTTGGTGGAATCCAAAGTGGTTTAATCTTAGATTATGGTACAGAGAATCTGTTCTAGCAGTTAAACTGACTGTGAATAGTCCCATCTTAAAACAGAATAATTTAGAAGTAGGAATTTTCTGTGGAGATGAAGATTCATCAGCCATCAGTGAAGTCAGAATGGCATCTGATCATCCAGTGGTCAAGCTATCTGATGGGAATCATGTAACTAAGGGTGCAGTAAATCTGCTGTACAGTATTCCGAAGGAGAAAGACCCTGATAAGGAAATGACAAAAACATCAATTGATTATCTAGACAGGGGCCTGTGGTATGCAATTAAACAGAATTATGGTGATGAGATTGGATTGGCTGCAGCCATCAGAAACATCCCTGGCGGACCATTCGAGATCTACTCGATAGGCCATCGATAGAGTGAATCGAGTTGTGCACTGAGTCGATAGGTGTTCGAGATTGAGTCGATGGTAATGTGGATCCACGTTGATTACTGGGGTGTCCACTAACCCCATGTGGGATCTGTACATGACACCTTCAGAGTGTTCATTCTTATGACGAAGGGCACTACGGTCCTTCCTGAGCTGAATGCGCGGTCTCTTGAATGCTCGAGTTCCGGCTTTATTGGCTTTGCGTCCCGCTATCACACCCATTCTTCGAACGTAGTCATGTGAATGCTCATCAATGTGTAGGTTGAGTTTCCTATAAATTATCATGACGTATCCTGGTCCTAGATTTTTTTCAGCCACAGTTGCAGCAACTGGAAAATCCATAGACTCACTGAGACTATAACAGATTGCCTTGGGGGCTTTTCGAGCTATAGCTGCATTCAGACTCTCGTTCATCTGACTTGAAGCTGTATGAGCATACTTAGCTGCATTCTTTGCTAGTTTCTCGAAAATTCGATTAATTTCTTTAAACAGTACACCATTCTGGAAACCTTCTCCTATGGTACTGTGAGAATAATCAGTGGCTTTTTTGTATCCACACCAGTCACCACAATCGAGATGCATATTGAAAGCATGATAAGGGATCCCTGGCGGACCACTCGATAGGGTGGATCGAGTTGTGCACTGAGTCGATAGGTGTTCGAGATTGAGTCGATGGTAAAAAAATAACGATTTTTCTGCCTACATGCGCCGAAAGTGAGCCTTCTAACCTCACTTCGTTCGGTTAGAAACGTCACTTTCGCCGCATATCGACAGAAAAATCGTATGCAACCCTCGGGAGGATAATCAGACAAGCATTTCCCACGTGCATACCACCCTCGCCTTCGACTCGGGTGGTAATTTTGCACGTGGGAAGGACTTGTCTACTTTTCCTCCCTAGGTGAGCAATATACTATTCATTGACTTGAATATGTAGTAATCGAAGGGGACGGCAGTACCCAAGCTGCCTGTCCAACGTCGTACCGTAACGCTTGGAGGATATTGACGTCTGGGAATCGTTGCTCCAGTGAAAAATTATCTGAGTCACATTTCCTCGCGGATACTCAACCATCTGATTCTAGATATTAGCACAGACGGTGCGAATATGGACCATCAAAGTACTATTACTATGTGTCCAATCCACTCCAACAATTGTTCAAAGTGTACCAGTGACAGAATTTCTAGAACAGATGGAAATTGTGTGGCTATGTTAGATCAAACTCATCATCATGGATAAAGTGTTTTGGCAGAGTTAGGGATTGGAATGGTATTACAAGTGTCTTTTGAGAGAATGGATTTATCTCTATTATGATCAACCAAGCGACAGATAAAAGCTACAGTTACTCGTAGTGAACGATTCAACGATTACGTCGAACTTGGCAATACACGCATTGATATAATAAATCCCAGAATGGCCATTATAAGCTCATATATACCCGGTGAATCCTCCAGACGGCCAACTAATATTATGAAATATCACCGAATGAAAGCGAGAGAATGTTGTCGGGTGATTTTACATATTGAAACAGTGATAAATCATGGAGTTTACAAGAGTAATGTTTTTAACCATTATTTGGTATACCATGCCGCGCTGCGATGCTTGCCATCTCCGTACAGTTTACATTATCATTTGAACTTGGCAAGAAAGCTGATAAAGAAGTGTGTACGGGGCTACTTCATATTATATGGGTAAAATTTCGTAACTTATAATATTCACGGTTAACTTCACTTAGCGGAAGATGTCAAACGACCCTGTCTTCTAGATTCATTCTCTGCATTTGCATATGGAAATCATGTGCTATATTTAAAGTTGTCGTCGTGTAAACCCGTTTTTCGACAGATTTTTTAAAAATTTTTGCTATAGATAGCTCTTCAAATTCCCTCCGAAATGAGCACAACAAAAAATTTTCAGTTTCTGAAAATCGTCAGTTTCTGAGCTGAGATATGATTTTTTGAATTAACATGGGTTCAAATGCATTTCACCGTTTTTCCCTTATAAAAAAAAGCTTGTAACGTTTTTTGTCAGCTTTTTTTGGCGCTATGCATATCAAAATATATCTATATAATATGATATATATATGTAATATATATATATAAATTACATTAATTTTATATATATTAATTTTTTTTTATATAATATAATATATAAATTTCATATAATTTATTAAAAAAAATTAAATTAAATTATTAAATTTATTAAATTTTAAATTATTTTTTATATAAATTTTTAGACTTTTTTCTTTCTCCTTTTTGAAATTCGCTATATGTATATATTATATTGGAAATAACCGTGGATATATATATATATATTCCAATGATAACACCCCATACGTGGACGATTTGGCGCGCATAGCGCGCCATATACGCTGGTTATTTAAAAAAAAAAACCACTCGACATTTTTTGATGAAATTAACACAGAACGTAGAAATAGTGACCACCAATATACTGAAAAAAAAAGAAAGTGATCGTCAGTTTCGTAATAGAGCAATAAATTTTCAAAGTAGCATTATTTCTTCCAGTGGGCGGAGCGCATGAGTTTGTTGCGCGCGACGCGACAACAACGCTTTTTGCTCGAGTGCCGCGAATCTATTTGAAATAGTCAATGACGAATCAAAGGGACGATTCATAAATAAAATAAATACATTGAGTGAGAAAGAGAGAGACATGAAAACAGAGACACGCTGCGCGCGGTTGCCACGTTCGGCACCATTTAGCGTTAGCTGTGTGTACATGTATCCATGCCTGGTAGATTCTTGTGTGCGTGAGTCGAGTGGAACTGTACACCCGCAAAAGTTTATATTCTAACCCGTATTCTCCGCTTAGCGGAAGATCAACCCGGAGCGTAGCAAATTTTAAGCCTGACTCTCTCGCGACAACAACCTTAAGAACAATGTTATGTAAGCTAGGTCAACCACTAGAATCGCTCGAAGAATTCAATAGAGAGCCAATAAAAGAGCAAAAATACGTTGACAACAGCCGTAAATCCATTGCAACCTCATTCTAATGGTCCACCAATCTTGGATGATGTATCTGGATGGAGAGGTGAATATGTACATAAGACCTACATAAGACCGATGATTTTATCTTTGGGACGAATCAACGTGACAAAGTCTGAAGCTGTGCTTTCCAAGATTCAAGTGTCTGTCTCGTTGTTAATATTTTTGCAGGAACTGACAATAAATACGTGTTAGGTGTACAAAAATTCCACCACATGGAGGCGTGGCTCAACGTTCAACTTGATTCAATCGAATGCGGCAGTTTTAAATGTTCGAAGCTGGACGGGATTTTTGCGACATAATTGCCAAGTGTTATCGAACACCGTACTAAGCTCTTATTATAAGGATGATTGATATGCTATCTGTCAATTTATTACCGGGAACATTTATAGCAACAGTTATGCTATAACAACGAGAATTAGACAGTAAAGAATGATTAGATCGGTCAGAGTTAGTACAAGGGAATAGTATATTTCGACATGCAATAATAGGAATAGCTGGATGTTACCGTGAAAACCCCCAGATGAAGCGTTACATATTTATTGTTTCATTACAGATACACTGTCTCGGAGTTTTACTCAGGCCTTATTAGTCATTGGGCACGTTCACCAGTGTAATGGAAAATCATCTATTGTGAATTAGCTTTAAATATATCCAAATAATATGAAAAAGGAATTTTAATGAAATTATCTGCATCATCTTTTGAAACTCTAAGATTGTGAACAATTGAATCCTTCAGTGTGGTCTCCAAAATTTAGCGCACCCATCATCCATCCATGACGAAAACGTAAATGCCTTCATTGCAGGAACAAGTGCGACGTGACGAATAAGTCTGTGCATGTGACCAAGGTACTCGAAACTGCGAGTACATTTCGATATTTCGAAAACTATGTTTCGTCGTGTAAAATCACCCAAATCATTAACTTTATCTAAAAATTATGTGAATTATGACTCAATTTTTTCTACCACTGTATTTTTTAATAATAAGAAATTTGCAATTCAATTTTCTATGTCCTAGTTTATCACTTATATACCAACAAAAATCTAAGAACTTGGAAGAAATAGGTGGAGAAAATGTTTCGTTAAACTGTAACAATCAATTCTAGAATTTGAGCGACTAGGTGTTGAATTTTAGTCTCAAGTTATTGAAAGAGTAAAAGAACAACATGTTAATAAAAGTCAATAATAACTATGTGCTGACTTTTAATAACAAGCATACGATCAAATTTATAGATAATTTATATTCATTCTGTACTACTTTTTCAGTTCATGAAGTGTCTCTATAATTTATGTGGCAACTCCTTGCTCGCCGTGCCAGCATGCGTAGACAGTATCTAGTAAGCTCCACGTGGAGCGAACCTTCTGAAGCCCCATAACCGTTGATTGAAGATCCTAATAGTTGGTCTACTATTATAGAGGAGAGGAATTTATTGACAGGTTTGCAGATTATTACTTGTAGATATCTCAGGATTTATTATAATCACAGGTGTTTATTAATATCTATGAAAAGTATTTCAACAGAAATTATAAATAAATTAAAGATAATTGGATTTTCGTATTAATTTTTTCAAAAAAATTGTTGTGCGCCGTCTCTACATGCGTCTTTAAAGCTGCAATGTCATCAACTCAACAGAAGAGAATGTTTTTTCATCACAGATCATTAAAATTCAGAAGAAAAGTTATTACTAATAATACAAATGAGTTTGAGATTCCAAACAGTCTTGGCATTACTCCACATCAGATCGATGAAGCCTCAGTTTAAGTTTCCCCAATTATAAAACCGATTATGAATAATAAAAATCGTAAAATAAAGTGATGAAGAACCGAAGAGGACATTGAAAATTTCGTTTCAGTAGTTTGCACACTGACACACTTTCATAGAGACCTAAATTTCCTACACATTTTCGCCTTTTGGCCTTCTCTTTTCAATCTGATAATATCTTACAAAATAATTTTTCCAATTTGAAGACTCATCTGTTGGTGTTCATCATTCTTCTACATGACAAAGTTGGTTACTTCGTACGATAGAAAATAACTTATGGTTAATAAAATGTACATAGACCTGATTGGTTCCTATCTCCAGTCATACATGAGAAAGAAAAGCAGAATGTTCAAACAGTAGTAATTACAGTTTTAAGTGGCTGCTATAATCTCCTCATCGTAGCAAAAAATGATAATTCTTGTGAAAATGGCTTCTTAAGTTGATTTCACCATCGCAGAGTGACTCTTTTCTGGCCTTTATTTCAGAAGTTGAACGTAAATTTGCCTATAAACAAGATAAACCATTAAACATCATTTAAGAAGTACCTTCGCTGAATATCTATTTTAGCTCCACCGAAAATAACTACTTATTGCGACCAGCAAAGTTAATTTCTCCCTTTATGTTGATTCAGTTCCTTAATGTTTAGATAAAATGAACAACCAGAGGGAGTGTGGATTGGGGAGTAATATGGAGATATTATAAATTCATCGCACCGCAATCCTGAGCAGTTTCTTGCGCCGCCTATGGTGCCTCTGCTCCCTTCATTTACCTCCGGTGATATTGGTGACGATGGGTCAGTGAAGTAATTACTCAATTGATTATTTTCGCAATCCCAATGTTAACCAATACAGTTAGACCAGTCTCCGTGATAGGACCAAGAGGGTTTTTAACTCATATTTTTTTCCATTTCGACTTTAGCCAATCAGAGTGCAATATTCTCGGTCACGGGGTTTCTTTCAAGCTGATAATCTTTCTCGCTACGAAGAAATTATCAAACCGATTTTTGCTTTATTCGCTTATATATCGATATCGATATCGCTTCAGATAATTTTCGTGAAATCTCGCTGACAGTTTGTGTTGGTTTAGAGTGGCTAACTGCTAAGTAAGGTGATTGGGACAAAGCTCGATAGAAGACCTTGATAAAAGAGTGGAAAAAGCGTCCCTAGTAATATTGTAAATTTCCAGGCTGAATAAATATGAAACTTGAATGGACCTTTCCATCCTGTGAATAGCGAAGAAGTATTCCAAATACTCATCTCTGACTAACTAAACGCGAAATTTAAAAAAAAAGATCTTCCTCGTTCTTCAAAATTTATAGGATATTGATAATGATCGGGGAAAATTTTTCAATAAAATCCTCTTACGCCTTCGGGACCTCTATTTTAATATGCAAAACTTCTGATTACCGAAATATAGCAAGAATAAACGAAATCTGAACCCAGTAGGTATTTTTCACTTACCGAAGGTCTTCTTCTTCGTTTTCTTTGATAACAGATTCTGTTCGGGTAGCTTACGAAGCTCTGCAATTCGTTGTTTAAACAATTTCATACGATAACTATCACCGACGTCTTTTCCTTCGACTGATGCAATGTAATCAGTGACAAATGATTGGAACATCATTGTTTCTACAAACCACTCAAGAAAAAATTGTACTGTTTTCGATGGGTAAGCGTTCACGAAAGATTCCTTCTGTAATCAACAAAAATCAATCAATTGACAATCAGTAGGTAAAAAGTAGAATAATAACAACAGTTGACTGCTTGTATGTGGCAAAAATGCGATTGGGTTATTTCTTCATTTTTATCAATTTTTGCCAATCATTCATGAAATAAGTTCTTGAAATGTTTCGTTAGCAATTACGCTATTAGAGTTTCTGTCGGAAAAATTTTCTAGGTATTGAAAACCCTAAAATTATAAATATATATAAAAAAATCTGTCACGTTTATTCCTCATTGGTTCACGATCATTGTAGATGGTTAATTTGGATTCAGAATTCATTAAATTTTGAGATTTTCAATCAGAATTCTTGTGCAATTACAGCTTGCAGTGGAGCACATTCAGTCGCGTAAGTGAAAAAAAGGACTTCGCTGATTTTATGCTGCAGAAGGCATGTAACTGGGACTTTACGTGGTATTGTTTTTTTTATTTTCTATTTGTCAAACTCACGGAAAAGCTTCCGGTAAAAATACAAATCCTCTTGGTCAAAAGACAGGACTACATGTATTTTTCGACGGTAGAAGAAATTGAAATGTCGTTGAGTTATTTACTTGATTTTGGTGAATCAGAAATCAAGATGAAGTAATATCAGGTAATTTAGAAGTATACTTGCCCAATATTGAGCAGAGCAGACCCCCATGAAAAAATATGTGTAATATTGGTCAATTATATGTCTTTATAAATTACAAAGAAAAAATATAGAAAGTATATATTTTATAAGTCTATATAAAATATGTACTATATTTTTTTTTGTGTTTAAAAGAGAATTTGGAGAAATTTGAAATATTCTTTTCCAATTTGTAAAAACAATTTTTTTCGAAATGGATAACAAACCGCACAATGATGCCTATAATGGCCGAGGTCTCCCTGGTCTAAGGAATTACACGACCTATACAATTGGGAGAATAATAAAAAAAAACGTACCCTACCGACTCATGTTCATAGATCATAAATATGGAAGTGATAGTAATTATTTACACGACTTATGGAAAATCTTCTCACCTGAAAAATTTTTTTCCCATCCTGTTGGGTAACTAAATTACTCTCCAGGTGAGCACAGGTCTCCACGAAGACCCTAAGGAAAGCTTCAGACACCAAAAAATTTCTGATGTTGTCCCCATGCTTAGTATTATCACTAACAAGTTGCAAAGCTGAATGAATGCCCTCTTGGAATCTTTTGGGGAGGATGGACCCTTCATCACCAACAGCACAAATGACTTTTGAAGTGTCCAAGTCAACTGTGATACAATCTTGAATACTTACTCCCATCTGAAAATACGGAATGCGATTTGGAAATTCATACTTTAGTGAAAAAAATCATAAAGTGGGTAAAAATGTATTTTTACTCCTTGAACAGAAAAATCATATATTCATTGCATTATAGAAGAGGTTGGCAACCTCAACCCTCCGAGCTATGGTTATGGCTGTACCCCACTGATCAGTGCTGTATCCCCTTCAGGCTCATAATGCTTTGCGCGTAGGCAAGAGTAGTGAAGATATTCCGCAGAAACTTGGTGGTCGGAAAAGCAAAATAGACAAACTTTCTATTCCTCTAATGGAAATATTTTTTCAATTATTACTTTTTTTGTCGTTATGCTTTTGATTGATTATTGGCTATTTTTAATCGACATTATAAAACAAATTCGTACGTTTCATAGATTTCTTGAAGAGAAAATATTGTTTAGAAAACAATTATTAAATATTATCATGTTGTTAACAGACCTGACTTAACATGCATTATCAAACTTTTCATTTCTATATTTCCCGCTCTCGATGCCAAATTAAAATGCACAAACTTATTACAATTGAAAACATTATCGGCGTCCTTCAATCTTTGATTGACGATGAAATTTTTCTCTTTCAAGTTCACGAGCATGCCACTTTCATTTCCGCCGATGAATGTTGAATCTAAACCATCATTTTTTAATTCCCCTTTTTTCTAATCAAAAAGGAAATGTTCAAACACGTGCATAAAAATTTTTATGTCATTGCGGCCGGTGAAACGCGTTTCTAACCACGCTTCGCTCGGATAAAAACGCGTTTTAGGCCACAATGGCATAAAATAGCATCATAGCCACGGCGAAAAGTGATTCTGACTCATGCGCGTTATAATCCTCGTCTCCGACTCGGACTATAAAGTCGCATTCGTCAGATTCCCTTTTTTCGTCCTAGGGGTGAAATATACTATTGTCGTCGCATTTCAATCACATATGTAGCTCACCATTTACGTCAACATGTCCACCGCACTGACACAATTGCAACATATGAAGCAAATATATCAATTATTACTAAGAGTTACAAAAAAGGATAAAAATAAGGGGGAAAAGTTTGGAAAAAATGAATTAAGTTTGTCTCTCTTGGCGTGTCCATGGGTGAATGTAAGTGAGTTAAAGAGGCATAATTCGTCATATGACGTGTATATGTTGAGGTATTTTGCGTGCAGTGATTTTGTCATTGAGGATTTTGTGGCACAAATTGGCGCCCCAATCAGACCCACACACTAGAATTGACAAATTATAAAGCACAGTTCACTATAAACCTCGAGGAAAAAGTGTCCAAGATTTCTATGAGCAAGTTAAGAATTATTTTAAGAATTTGGAAGCACAATGACATCCCAAAAAATTTTCTCGTTCAATTTAGAGTCATTAATTATAACTTATTGATCTATCGATAAGTTATTATTTATGATTTAATGATTCTCTGTGAAATGAGACTGTATAATTCGAATAGAGTTGTTTCAATTGATTTTTTTCTCCTCAGAAACTTCGATTGCTGTTTGAAATAGCCCGCTACTCGTCGTGACACACCTGTGCAAACAATCTCCTTTCGCATTGCCAAGTCTCGCCGCAATTTCATCAGAATACAACCTCAGTCACACGTTGTTTATCGTTTTTCAAAGATTATTAATTTTGGTACGCAAGGATCTCACCAAATTTCGCGAAGTGAATGTGAAGAAAAAAACAAAACGACAGAAATAAAGTTTAGGCTCCCTCTATATTGTCGATATGACCGTTTTTTCTAAGCCCTTTTTTAAATAGAAATTTCATCAAATTGGTGCTCAAAGATTTCTCCAGAATTTAACGAAAGTGAGGAAACTAACCATGGAATCTAATCCTGTCCATAATCCAATAATTATTAAAAATTCTGAGGTAGAACGATCACTTTATTGGGTAAAGTTTACCCAATAAGTTGAAAAAAAATCGTCGATAAATAGTGGTATGAGTAATAGTCGTAATAGTCGTTCTTGAAGAAATTAATATAACTCTGAGGCTGGGCTGGGAAAGACTTAGGAGCTGAAACTTCAGTTAGGCTGACTGACTCCGCTCGAAAAAATCGTTATTGAGGAATGCGGACCCATTCGCATTTATCAAATAATAAATATATCATATCAAACTTTCTTCAATCGCTCGAGAAACAAATCGAGTTAGGTCTGGATAAAGCTTATGGCAGCCCTTGGAAAAAGAGGCTGCGCTGTTGTGATTGTCAAAATTGAATTGCTTCTTTTTTATTTTCCTTATCTACGAGAATATCAGAAAAATAGTTCTAAAGTGTTCAAATAAAACTTCAAAATTCAACACTTTCAGTTACTGACAGACTGGAATGAAATGTGATATTCGAACCGATTTTGGAGGAATATTAATAAGATTCGTGCAATTTTACCTTATGGCAAAAAATGGGTAAAAATCTGTTAATTTTCCGTTTTCATTAATAATCGAAATAGCGAAAAATAGAACTGGCATTGCCCCTAATAAATGATATGCCCGGGATTTTCGATGAATGACGATGCTCAATGGAAAAAGGGGTTTATATGATGCACTACCATATAATGAATGTGAGTTTCATGGAAATTCAAACGGTGGAACTATACTAATAAAAATTAACTCCAATATTGTCGAATTGGAATAAAAATATTGCGATTAAAACTTGACACGTGCATACCTGCACCGAATTTCTAATGCCAGATTCTAGCATTTTATCGAAATTACAAGTTAGAAGGTACGATTCACCACAGGTATAAAGATAACTTTTATTTCCTCATTTCATGAATGCAAAAATCCATTTATCGTATTTAAGTTTCATTTGCAAAATGAAAAATTTAGTATGAAAATCTGCAATGCAATTTTCAGAAATATATTCCAACGTTAACCGTGGCAAATTTTTGTTTTCACACTTAGAGTTGCAATATTTGGAGGGAAAATAATAATTGCCGAAATCCATTTCCAAAATATATTCTCTGAGATTTTTCATTGCAAATTTATATTTTTTAATTTTGTATTTAAAATTTAGAACTGAAATTTTATGCCAATTGTGGCGGGTCAGTCATTTTTGTTTGACGCGCACACCATTATACGTAACTGACGGGAATATCGTCATCGCTGGGACTTATTCGCAGATAAAGGTTGGCTAATTGGATGCCCATCAGGATTAGGAGATTATGCCGACCTTAGTAATAGCCTAGCTCCCGGGTATCTGAAGGTTCGCCGGGCCTTGCACTAAAGGTCTACCCCGAAAGATGCGTATCAAAATAACACATAAAACTAAAAAAAAAAAATTAAAATTCCTTACCTTTGCATTGTTATCACTCTTTCCTTTCAAAATTCCAATTACAAATGGCGGAGGTGCTGCAAGGATCTCCTTGAGCCCCTCGATATTTGGCAGTATCGGAATAAACGTATGGGGCCAATTAAGAGGATACAGCAGACTTTGGAGGGCCTCCACACAGCTGCTTAATTGACTTAGTTTGCTTCCTAGTAAGACCACTTTTCTCTCTAGTAACAGACTGCCGAATAATAAAATCAAAACTTTGTTACTAACAGTTTCAAAAAGCTGACTTATATCTCTCTCTTCCAGCCTTGGATCTCCGCATCTTACGATTAAAGTTTCATACTCCTTTTCTTCCCTTAACCGTCTGTCATCTTCCTGATCAAATGCTTTAATCTTTCCACTTTCTCTTTCCTTAGGAAATGTCTGGTACTTCCCTGCAATCATCTTAAGGCTGTCTCCAGGGTTTGGCATCGACCTGTTGTATAATTCTTCGATGAAAGCCCTTCGACTCCTGTCGGGAAGTCCATGCATGCTCTCTAATTCTTGAAGAACCTTATGAAAGAATCCACTAGCTCGATGTTTAGTGATTACACAGTAAGCTAAAGGTAAGATAGGTCCTCCTTCAGGCTTGACTCTAATGCAGTACCCAAACCTTCTGTTCCCTTTGTCGTCCATCAAAGAAAGCGAATGGAATTGATTATGATTGAAATCATCAGGAGGCCAATCATGAGCATCTGGAAAGCAAAAGTGTTCGATCCACGTCGGTACCTCAGCCTCGATTGGAAGTTTGTCTTTGATATAAGGGACTTTGGTACTTAGATTGAGTTCGACAAGGAGGCAAACGTCGAATAAATTATCCTTTCGCCTTCTCTGAATGGCTTTCCTAGTCTCAAAATATTTTATCGACACTTTTCGCACGTAACGTTTACGTTTCTCTGTAAGGGAACGGTGCAACTCTTCCTTGGATAGTTTGCCAGTATTTTCACGATTTCTGAAAAGCCTTAGTTTTTCGCTGAAAGAGGTGAGCTCTTCGGTGAGGGAAAGATTTGAGGCGAGACTGTCTGTGTCGGAGGATGTTGATGAGTCGGTTGATGGATCAACTGTTGACATGATAAATTTCCCGAATGCGTGATTTAGAAGCTGCTCTGCCTGAAAAAACGAAATTGAGATCGAATTAATTTCATAATCGATGAAGTTTCAGATTGTATGATATTTTTATGAAGGGAGGATTAGAGAAAGCCAAAAACATGGGAAGAATACGTGGCCGTCTATATGAAAAGATCTTTTGAACGCTTCCAAGTTTCCGAGATATCGGTATTTTCGTGATTTGGATTCGAATAATCTCTTTTCTCATCAAAGAAGAACCCTTCCTGCGTTGCAATAGATCCGTTAAACCTCATTATCTCAATTAGAAATTGAAAAGTTACTCTCGATACCGTAGCGTGGGGGGTAGAGAAGGGTAACATTTTCATGAGCGTTCCAATCCCCGAACACAAAAAAATGAAATTTACAAATGTAATCAACAGTCCAATTTTCAGAATCATTATTTCTGTTGGAGTTTCCATTCCATGATTACAGAAATTAATTTCATATTCCACATTGTGCTTATATCGACATTTAAGAGAACCCTTTTCTGATCTCAAATTCTGAAAAGTGCGTGAACAAATGATGCGACTTTTGATTTTCAGTGTAAACATCAGTAAAGTAATGGGACCTGTGTGGGTCCATGTCACCAAAGTCCCTACGATATCTGTTTCATTAGTTAATCCAGCTTCGAAATTCAAAGTGTGTGAATGTTTTCCTAGTAAACATTTCTAATAAAAAAAATATTCAACTGAACTAGAGTGTTTTTCATTCAACATATTACCCATTTCCAATAATTTCCTTTATGTAGCAGTAGTAGTAGTAGTAGTAGTAGTAGTAGTAGTAGTAGTAGTAGTAGTAGTAGTATTTATTGGATCATTGAATTTGTATATTCATAAATGCAGGGGCTCTGCGTAGTGAACAAAAATAGAATAAATGAAAAATAGAGCATTTGAAGATACATAGTAATTCGTCAAGATGAATGCGCCTCTATAGGCGGATATGCACACTATAACACACTATAACGGCGGATATGCTAATGAAGGCCAGTCAAGAGCCACAAGGTGGAAAGTGATCTAATTTAAGAAATCACATGACCTCAATAGATTATCCGTATAGAATTAAAATGAGTTGTCCAGGATGTGGTGCCTGGGGTCTCAAAATAAATAGCCGCCTGTCTTTTGAGGTAAGTCGCCCGTCAGTGCAAGTGCCGAGAGAGCATTGGGTAAGCAGTGCTAGTGTGTGTGCGTGGGCCTGTCAGCTGACAAGATTTCCAACATGTACCAAAACGGGAAGTGTCTATTAAATGCACGTCATCAAAAGTAGAATAGTAAAATACTAGTAGCTAGGATAATAATTGGTTTATGTATTAAAGGCAGCAAGGAGGGAAGTACCGAGAGATACCAGAGAGTACCCAGGAGTTACCTGTCGAATACATGCCCGGCGTGGCTCTTCGCCTCTTAAGGAGCTGGGCATTTTGCCAGAGGCAAGGGAAATTGTAAACCACGCAAGAATTGGTGGAGGACGAGACGCACACTCAACTCGGAGTGATGACCCGCAACCCCAACACCGCACGGGCGTGTACAGGCAGAGGCCAGCGAGGCTCAGTTGGCCCGCTTGGTTTATTCCGGATTTCCTTATGTCTTGCCCGATGCCTCGAGGCTGCAGCCCCTGGGTTGACCCTGAAAAATAACGGTAGTCTAGGGCAACCTTCCCTGCCCCATCAAACTCCCGCTGCGATGCCGCCCACCTGCCCCGCGTAATCATAGACGTAATTGTAGAATAATTTGGTCCAGATTGCGTTGAAAGTAATGAAATAGAGGAAGAGTGTAAGCCGCGAGAAAAGAGCGAACCAGACATGAGTATGAAGTGTAAGTATGGTGTCCCGTCTAACCGATAAAGTAGTGATGGATTGAAAAGGAGATAAGCGAAACACGCGAAGTCTCATAAATTTCAGGACTTCACCCTCTTTCTAAAACCGACATGGTCACTGAAGGCACATACCCGGGGCCGAATTGCCAGGGCTCATATACCGGCCAGACATCGGCCAGGCGATGGCGGCCTATCCCTCGGCAACCAATACTCGATCGAGTGCTGGCCGGTCATCGGCACCCAACATCTCGGCTTCCAATTTTCGGCCGAGACTCGGTTAAGAACAGGATACCAACTGCCGGTTACAGATGCTCGGCCGTTGTTCGTATGGTACATGGCATGCTAATACAGGACATTACGAAATGGCCGCACTTGTGCAGTTCATCTCGTGTTCATGAATAATAGTCTATGTTTCTACTCAGTCAAAAGTTCATTTACTGACGGAGAGATATGTTGGTTGATTCACCCACGCTCAAAATTAATTCTATCAATTAAAAAAGTTCACTGATCAAGTTGACAAATCCAGGATGGCATCATCGTATGAACGAGTTAAAAAGTGGCGAGAAATGCGCAAAGGAAAGGATTGTGTGAATAGATTGAATGACTGTGGTGGAGAGCAGGAGTTAGAGAACGTGAATATTAGTGAAAGACAGAATGGAGTACAGAGTGAGGTTATACCAAGAGTAATGGATGATATTTTTATTAGTGATTCACCACGATTGAATGATTCCCCAACCCTGAATCTCAGTGATTTCTTAAGAGAAAGTTGCACCAACACATGCTCCGAATTTGGTGATGTGGCCATGTCACCAGAAAACAGCTGTGATGCCTTAGCAGCCTCAGCAGTCAATGACATTGATGATAGACCCATTCATGAACATTTCTCCCCAGTGCCTGATGTACGAAGTGAAATACAAAATTGGGCTTTGGACAATCGGAAGAATTTGACAGGTAACTGTATCGATGACATGTTATCGATATGGAGGAAATACGGTTTTGAGTCAGTACCGAAAACCTTGGAAACATTATTGAAGACTGAACACAAGAGAGAACTACAAAACATGCTTGGCAAGAAAAAAGATGAATTTTCTATGGGCCAGTTCAAATATTTGGGAATGCAACAAGGTTTTGAGAAGATAATAGATCCAAATACTTATACTGAAGATACAATATCGGTGTTAGTTCACATTGATGGGATGCAAGTATATAACAATTCATCTAAAGAAATCTGGCCAATCAGTGTGCTGATCTATCATGAGGATTACATCGTAAACCCCTTTGCTGCGGCAGTTTATTGCGGAGATGCCAAGCCGGCATTTGCTGAAGAATATCTGAACGAGTTCGTCAAAGAATCCAACGATTTTTATGACAACGGTGTAAAAATCCACGGTAAAAAGTACGGTTTTAATATTTTTGCAATAATTGGTGATTCTCCAGCCAGGGCATTCTTCAAGTGCTGCAAGACACCAGGATCGTTTTTTGCATGTGAAAGATGCATTATCAAAGGCGTGACTCTTGCTAAAAAACGAGTGTACAATGACATTGATTGTGCCAGACGCACCAAAGAATCTTTTGAGGCAAGATCTCAACCTGATCACCACAACGTAAATTCGACTTCTCCCTTGACTAAAATAAGAAATTTCGATCCCGTAGCATCGACAGTCTTAGAAATAATGCATTTATTTTACCTGGGAGGGATGAAATGGCTGGCGGAGAAGTGAATTCTCAGGAAAAAAAACCCTGCGAGGATCAGATTATCCGACGTACGAACACTAAAGGACATTATGATCAATTTGAAATCTGAGATTCCATCCGATTTCCAGAGGGATGACTTTGACGTCAATCACATTTCAAGATGGAAACCCACGCAGTTTAGATTTTTATTGAATTATTGTGGAGCTGTTGTACTTAAATGAATATTATCACCTGAATACTACGAGCATTCCCTCCTCTTTGTTGTCGCTAGTCGTATCTTGAATAGCAAGCACCTTGTCAAGACTCACTCTAATTACGCTGAGAGTCTACTGATAAACTTCTTTACACTTCTAGACATTTATGGGCCACATTGCAAAGTGCTGAGCTTCCATAATTTTATTCATGTTGGAGATGATGCTAAAAAATTTCAGATCCCTCTAGAAAATTTATCACCATTTTTCGGTGAAAATTTCATAGGAAAATTCAAAGATCACGTCAAATCTCATGTTAAACCTCTCACCCAAATTATAAATCGTCGTATGGTCATTCAGAGAAAATATGTGTTGAGTGGCTGGGTTCCTCCACGAAATGAAGACATATTTGATGATTGGAAGACTGTGCATTCCTTGAAAATTTACGATACCATTCTGACAGCAAAACGACCAGACAATGTAATTCAATTAACGTCTGGAGAAATTTTATTGATTTTAAAAAATATGGGTAAAGCAGGACCTACCTGAATTTTCAAATAATATCAGCAATATTTGTCTTGAAGGGTTAACAGAGAATGGTCGCAGAAATGTCTTTACTCTCCCAACACCATCAACTGACATTGGAATTTGGGAGCTGACAGGATTTGGTTCAACAGTTGTATCAGTTAGAGCTACGGACTTTCAGGCTAAATGTGCGCTATTGCATGTCCACTCCAAGGAGTATGCAATTTGATTGCTCCATACAGAAGTAAAATTTCAAGGCTAGACTTCATCATTCTTTGAAACTATGGGGGAATGAGATTCGAGTACCAAGCTGAGTACGTTCACAGAGAAAACTACTTCTGACGAAGGAGTTTTACTTTTACACGGAAATATTCTCACGTCAATTTTAAAAACCGTGAAATCCCCTGATACATAATTTCGTTTTTACACTGAGAGAAAAAAATTTCCCAATAGGGTGAGATTCTCTCGTTTAGGAAGGAATTTGATGAGAAGTCTTACCCATAAAGTCATGTAGTTTGCGTTTTACCTCGAGTTTTATTTTCATCAGGACTTTGATGGAAAAATATCACACAAGACTCAAAATTAATTTTCTGTAAAATTAATTCGATAATAAGAAAGTTCGTCCCGCATTCGAAACATGAATTTCTCGATTTTTCCTCAACCCATTAAATTCTAGATAGAACCCAAATTATACGAATTTACGCGCAAACTTCTGCTAACATTAGATGGCCGTTATCCGTTTCCGGTTGGAGAGTAGACTACTCAGTCGAGGCATGGCCCTGA